AGTAGTATCTAGCTAGTATTGAATTAATCTTGACAAGCACACCAAAATTGCTTGTAGGGGTATTGATACAAGATATATATGAAAAGTGTAAGACTCCAACACGCAAATCTTATGAAGCAAGGTTTTGATAAATCTTAACTAAGAATTGGGACATAAAACCCAAAGCGCGTGACCTACCCAAGGTGTGTAAAGATTTTTGATTTGATGTACAAGGTGGTGAATGGTTTTGTTTGTGTGGTGGGTCCTACCCTTGCCACGTGGAGGGCAGGGGACAAAAGAGAGGAGAGAGAGAGAGAGAGAATTGGCACGTGTGAGGGCATTGCTGGGATTGAGCAGACATGGGTGGATTCTTGGGTTCCTTCGTTTGCATGGAAAATCATTGGCCTCATTCGATCATCTCTCTCTTGGTTTTGCTTTTCTAGTTGGGGACCATTTCATAACACTATTATTATTAACCTTCTCATATTTTCTACTGCTCTTTCTCTTGCCAATGCCTCAAACCATAATCTCCAAGTTAGATCCAATTATAAAAACAAAAACAAAAAAATTGGACATGAATAGCTCATTTTTAACTACCATAGAATACATATATCTTTTATTAGAAATTTTTTTTTATTCGAGTCGGATAAGAATAAAATTACTATGATAAAGTTCTTTATTCAAATATTTAAAATAATTAATTACATATTTATAATTTCAATTCAAAATCATTTATTATACTTAAACAACCTTTTATCGATTAATCATGTGTTGGTAGGTATTAAAAAAAAATTGGTTAAAGTTATAATACGAATAACTTCAAAAATTTAGTAGAGCAAAAATTCAGGCAATAGTATTTGGTCAATATCGGTCGAAATTATGATGAAAATGAAAGCAACAAAATGATTTATTAGTAATGACAATGATTTTTTTATTCACCTAAAATTGGGTTTTTTCACTTTTTAGTTTTGTGGTAAGATATGTTTTTTTTATTTGGTTGAAAGATATATTTTAAGATAAATAAAGGGTTATATATAAGATCTGTGTATGAATTTTTATTATTTAGTTATTTGTTGTGAATATTTAGGAGAGTGTATTACATTAGGATTCATAAGACTTTTTTTTATTTTAGTATAAAAAAAGTCTTGTGAATTTTAAAAGATATTGTAAAAATTTAATGATTTTTCAAATATTTTTAAAAGGTTTTATAGGAATAAAATGACTTTTAAGAGTTTTTTTTTTTTAAAAATTAATCAACATTTTGTAATATGGATCTTAATGAGTTTGTATGTTAAAAATTTATAAGATTTGAAATGATTTTATTAGATTTTAAATGATAATTTTTTTAAAAAAAATACAATTTCTCTACATTCATAATTGACAAGGTTTGAATACAGAAAATTAAATTCTCAATCTTTTAATAAAGAATTGATTCTGTTTTTATGTTCTCTTAAGTAACATTTTTCTATATAAAGTCCTCTATACATTTATATTTTCTCTTTCCTGCTATTAAATTTTAACATGTTCAAATTTATAATATTCATTAAATGGTAGAGTTGTCAAAATATATTTTAAAATTTTTCTATTTTAATATTAAATTTTATTGAAAATAAACATTTGTTAAATTTTAATAATTTTAAAATTTAAAAATATATAATATTTAATAATTCAAAAATAATTTTAAATATTTAATAATTCAAAAATAAATATTGATAAATTATACATCAATATTGATATATATATATATATAGGGAGCATATCAAGTGAGAAAAAATTTATTATGAGAGATGAGTGGGTTAAAATATAATCCTTAGATTAATCAAGTGAAAGAAAATTTGGGGTTTAATCAAGTGAGAGGAAATTAATGTAAGGGTTATATTTTAACTCTCTTATCTCTCATAATAAATTTCCTCTCACTTGATATACTCCCTATATATATATATATATATATAGATAGATAGATAGATAGATAAAAAAGATAGAAGAAAAAAAAAAGATAGAAGAAGTGAAAGAATAAAAAATAAAAGAAAGAAAGAGAATATTATATAAAGAAAACATGAGGAGGGAGAGGAGAAAGAGAGAGAAAAGAGAAGATGAGAAAAGAGAATATGTGAGAGAGAAAGAGAGCAAGAGAGGAAAAATAGAGAGAAGCAAAAAAGTTAAGGGAGAAAAAAAAATGAACGAGAAAAAAAATCATTTGAATCTTAATGATTTTTATGAAATTGTTAAATAAGTAAATTGTAAGTAAGTTCTATTAAAAAATCTCACGAAATCCATCTATCCAAATAATTTATTAAAATTTTTATATTTTTTAATTCTGGTAGATTTTTTTTAATTAAATATCATCAAATTTTAATATATTTCTAAAACAAATTTAATTATCTTAATGAAATATTACCATACTTTGATTTACTTTTAAAAAAAATCTTAATTATTTTAATTGAATATCACATAACTTTTTTATGTTAAAAATTTGATTAAAATTTCAATTTAATGCATCTCGTTCCTCTTTTAAGATGTATAATAATTCTTTTAAACTTTTTAAAAATTTTACCTGATGTGATTTTTATAATTTAAAATTAATTTATTTTTCGTTTAATCGATAATTTGATTCTTTACCATGACTATTTTACAATCTTTTTCCAACGTGTATTCCCTCAGTTCCCATAACAAATGTTGTATAAGAAATCTTAAAATAAGTGTTATTTTAAATGATAATAATAATGTATTATTAATTATTATTTATTTATGTCCCATTAATACATTTTTATAATATTATTGTTTTTTTATGATCTAATATTATTGTTGTATTACATATTTTTAACAAAGAATATTAATAATAAAATTATCTAGGTAACATCCATCTATCAACTTTTATCAGTATGAGTTAAAAAGTCTATGACAACACTAAATTAAATAATGGTCTCTGAAACACACATATAATTAAGTTTTTTTTTTAATATCTCTGTCGTTTACAAGTTTGTTAAAGTGGCTATAAAATTGTACAGTGTCCTACAAATTTTACACCTGTTGGAAAATATTGCAGTGGTCTTACCCCGTTAAAAAAATTATGTACCGATTTCAGCAACACCGTCAATCATACTAGTAACAAGGACCAAAACAAAACTTATCTGTCGTATATCAAGACTAAAAATAAAAAATAAAAATAAAATAAAAACAATAGAAAGTGAGTTTTAGGTGATAAAGTTTGAGAATTTCAAAAAATAGAGAAAATATAATGTTAAAGAAATTATATTACCATCCAATAAAAATCATTATATATAATAAGGTTATTGACTTTTGTCAAAATTACTTAAAATTTATGTTACCATAATTTTTAATTGATTGATTGCATGAAAAATAAAACCACTTTCGCCTATGCACAAAAGTTATTGGTTTTAAATGTCAATACATACCAAAATTTGAAATAGGAAAAAAAATTAAAAGCATCTTTCAATTACGATTAATCTAAATGATAAAAAAATTATAATCAATCTTGTGACTATGGTTCAAATATAACTAAATTAATACACCATTAATTGATAATTTACTAATTTAATTATCACTCCAAATTTAAAATAATTGATTATTAATTTTAATAGAAAATTTGATACTTTTACAATTTATTAGTCATGTATGTATCTACAATAGGCATGTGTGGTATTAATCTGTCAACAATGAAACGTGTTTGGATTTTATTTTAACAAGGGAATAAGGTTGAAAAGGAAAATGGAGAGGCCACGAGGAGACCTTATCACTATGCCCTAGACATATAACCATACTTTATTTCATAAATATAGAGGAATCCAGCATCTGAAATGAAGCTTACTCTGGTTGTTTTTTAGCAACAAAAAGAGGTGGTTTAATGAGGGAGAGAGACAAGTGGGAGAGGTAAGCAACTAATACAAATTGTTTGCCATAAAGGAATGGAGCAGTTTGAGTAACTGTTGGTTCTGGCTTTATGCAACTTGTGAAGGACCAAACCATTTTAGTACAAAATTGCAAACGATCCCTCCTCCACAAGTCCTATTCCCCTTTCCCTCACATATCCATACCAATAAGACAATCACAATGAAGGACCACCCCACCCAGATCATTATTTAGATCTCAATCTGAACTGAGATTTCCTCTGCTTTCACCCTCCCATTTTACTATCCTACCCTCACCTACCATCCCCAGTAGACACTTTTCTCCCTCACCACAATACATAGGGTTGGATATATATAGTACATGTATCACACAAGATTTTGATGAAAGGAACAGGGTCATAGAATAGCATTTGTGCTGCCCTAGTGTTATCAGGACCGTCCAAGGATCAAAGAAATGGGAGAGAGAGAGAGAGAGCATTGATTGCAGAACAGAAAGGGCGTGTTTTTTTGGATGCATGAAAATGTCACTGTCACCTGGTAGTTGTGCTGGTCCTGCCCAAAGGAAAACAATTACAAAACAAAAGGCCCAGACATAAAAGCAATATGTGTCTGGCACATGCCCCAGACTCCCAGTAAATAAAACCCACACCCACAGATCTCTCAGCTGTCCTCCACCTGCGACCCACCACATTTTTAACAGATCATATACGTATATATCTACATCGTAAATACACCATCATGTACTTGTGTACAGGTCCTAATGAGAGAGGGAGATACAGTGGACCCCGTTGGTTTTGCATGAACAAGTTAAGCGTCAGCTCTACAAGCAACAAATTAATTCAAGGACATCTATAAGTGACATGAAAGGATCTTCTCAAACTGTTACAATTTAAAACTGCATATATTTTAAGATAGTTTAATTCCCTCGGGCTCGTAGTCGAGCCATTTGATAAGTCAAACACAAGTTCCTTCGCACATGAATTTTATTATATTGAAAATTACCAAATGAAATGTATGGCAAAATTGAGGATTTTATTTCCATTAAAAGAATTTGCAAGTTTCATTGGTTCTATATAAAAGATAGCATTAGTAATAGGAATTAATCGCACATAGTATAAGAATTTGGTCATTACTTCAATGGGGTAAAACCGATTTAAAACTCGGGAAATTCCCGCTTGCAGCTCTTACAATTCAATATTATGGGCTATTTTTCCAATATCTGGGGTTGAAAAATTAAATCAATAAATACTCATGTTACATATATATACACAATATCAAATTAGCCAACTAACAAAATGGAACAAATTTTACTCCGTGCCATGAATAAATGACAATATAAATACTAGTGTTTATTTAGGCATCAAGTGCGGTATTAGCAAATGCTACAGTTTTAGGGAGAATAAATGATGCGCACAACATCCATTTTCCAGGAGCAACAAGTCGTACCCGTCGCATGTCTACGTTGACTGCTACCTCTAACAGCGCAATTCTTATTCTCTGCATCATAAGACCTTTATTAAAATGGTGTCCTTACTGCAAGGTTTACATAATACTAGCCCACCAGCCAAGTAAAAATAAAAGTATATCAGCAACCAACCTCGTGAAAATCAAATTCTGGATCTCGCGCTTTGGAGAATCCATAAACATGGATCATTGGCAAAGTAAGTTCCCCACCCTCGGGTCTATCTTTGTATATTCCCCGAAATGCATCTGCAAAGGAAGCAACGCATATCATAAAATTAAATAAATATATTATAGTTGTTCACTCCTAGAGACAAATTAATTCTCCACTAATGCATATCAATGACCAAGCCATTAAGCAACTACATAGTAAGATTATGACAAAAAAAGAGGGAGTAAGATTATAGGTATAAGTGTTAATGCTTTTACTCTCACCTCCATTAGGTAGGTTTTGACTCGTGATCTGTAGTTAAATTTGAAAACATCATATACTGCTTCACAATCACATTCTTTTAAACAACAGTTTAACTTATCGAGACCTACTGCATTGTGTGGTTTCCTGTCATTCCTTTCAACATCTATGCCTAAAGAGGTACGTAACTATGTATTATGTAAGATGTAAGCATCAATGATGAAACAAAGGATCAATGCAACCCTCACTCTACTTAGAAGTTAGAACTACTTGAAACATAGTCCAAGTAGCAAGAGAAAAACAGTTTGCCCCTATTCACCCAACACTCCAACACTGTCAACAGTACTTAAGGAAAAATTAAGAAAATTTAACATATTTTATTATACCATGCCAAAAAAGTTGTGTCGGATGGATCATATTGGACATGTGGCATCTAAAATATTGTACAGATAAAGAGTGATCTTGTCAGGAAAAGGCTACCTAGAAATTCTGCAGCTTCACTTGGCAAGTTCATAACCACTTGTGTGATGGACTGAGATACATCACTGGCATACATAGCCTTAATGAACCTTCTTCCATCCATGTTAAAGACCTAGAACAACAAACAGTAACCTCAGTTGGCAGAAAACTTCATCAAGAAAAGTAGTGCTGCCACATGCAGATTCATATGCAACGTCTGCCGTGGTTCATGAATTTGTGAAAAAACACTAATAACATGTCCTTCTAACCATTAGTCACTCACGTCCTATGAAGCATGGACACTTCAAAAAAGGAGTAGTGCCTGAAGGCACACATAATAGAAACTGGTGACAGACACGAAGCAATGTTTCAAATCCTAATAGGACATTTTAAATTTTACAGTTTGTGTTCATGCTTCTTAGGCTTCATAGTACATACAAAAGATAATTCACATCAGTTTTAAGCTAAAAAAAACTATATAAGCCCAAAAATGTTGGGGAAAAGGAAAACAATAATTTGCTGTACTTGTAATTTTAACCAAGAAATAGCACAAATCCAAAATTGGATCCCATTTCCAACATACTTTTTTACATTATTATCTTTTCATATGTAAAATTTGATAAAACATCAAGAAAATACTCATTCAATAAGCAATCATACCTTAATCTTCCTCTCGAGTTTGTTTAGAACACTATTTCTTTCCAAATACTCAACTGCATAAGGATTTAAGTCATTAGCAAAAACACGCTTAACTATCCTTGCTGCAGGTATGGCTAGAGGACCAACTCCAGAGAAAACATCACCTGTTAAGATGATACATGTGTAAGCAAGTCATGTATAATTTTTCATCAAGAATAACATTCTATACTATGGCAAGGGAGAAGAATGTGTGCATTATTCAAATCTCTGAAAGCATAACTTCTAAAAGAAGTTAGTACAGATTTGGCATTCATCACATAAATCAAGAACACGACAAGGGAAAACTAGTCCTCACAAGCCTCATGAGTTTGTTTCTCCTGATCAGCCTAGTATATCCAATTCCCAAATAGCAAAGGGATTTCCATGTAGTTTCTGTAGAATGATATCCAATAGGTGATATGCACATGCATGAAAATCTTAGGAAAGCTAGAAAAGGATTTCATCAATGACGATGTAGTTATGTCCAGTTTCTGTACGCAGGCATTTCAAGTTGTCGTGCATAATACCAAGATAGTTTAAATACATTTCTGCCTCCATTATAAGTGCAGTCATATCAATGAAATCCCGCTAGTATATGGAATTCATTTTTTAAGACTTGAAAGCATTCATTGAATCCAAGAAGTATCTGCATTAGATAATAAGAAATTATAGTTGAAAGGAAAGTATAAATTCCAGCAATTATCATACAAATAAATCAACTAATCTCTTATGGACTTATTCAAGAAGCAGATAGACTACAAATTAAGGTTATCCTTTGGCCTCTAAAAATAGGAACTGCTTAAAGAACATGAATACATTGTATGATATGCTCACTGCAATATATATATATATATATATATCAATTAGTAAAATGATATGAATGAGCACTTTTTGAACCAAGCCCAAAAGTTGTGAAACAACTTAAAAACCCCATCAGATAATATGCCAATTCCAAGCATTTTACATCAATCTCATTATACATTTACAGTTTTACACTGCATATCAAATATGTACCAAGTGACCAAGCCCCAAGAAGCATTATCTATTTGTGCCACCACTGAGCAATGCTTATTTTTTCTGTTCAACCACTACTAAGTAATTGTTGGTTCTGTTGAAATCTTGGAGTTTTAGGTACAGGGTGAGGAGATTGAGAGAAAATATACTTCGAATAGTATTATCTTGAATATGATGTATTACAATGTGATGATATGCATATAAAACTTACTTATAGCACTAACCCTTATTTATACCAAGTATAATCCTAACTAAAAAGGGAAACAAATCAGGAGACAAGAAAACATTGGAAAACTAATCTTGAGAGATGAAAAATAGGAAAACTAATCCTAAAGGATAGTTTAAGATATGATCAGATATATGTTAACATATTTTAATATATTCTAACAGATTCTACATTCAAACTCCCACTCACAGCAAACAAACCAAAATGTTGTCATCACTCATCAGTATTTGACATCAGATTGCTCTGACAAGCTAAATTCCACTATCAGACAGACAATAATCAAAAGAAATGGAAAGTGGAGGATGAGATGTGTAGGCTTCTTTAATGAAGGTAGACACATACAGACAACATCATTCTGTGTAAAACCACTCAGAAGCCTTTGCCTTTCAGTTCCAAGCCTAGAACTCCAATATCTGCACAGGAAGAAAAGAAACAGAAGTGGTATTTCATACTTTTGCATTTATTCTTTTACCTAATTTCCTCAGCATATTTTGAATTTTGGAAAAATAATTATATATTTACTTTTGATTTTAGATTCCATATTCAATTAGTGAAATTTCATAACATAGATCATAATCAATAGGGGGTGCAACCAGTAATTGATTCACATGCAATACTGTAACACTATAGGTCCAGTGAGTCAAAGCCACCTATCTAGTTTTGGACTTGAGAATTAAACACACTGAATAGTTAATAAAAATTGAAACATTCTGATTTTTAGGTTAGATTTCTGTACAGACAGTGTTCCCTGTAACAAGTAGTTTTTCTCCTTCAAAACACAAGGAATAACAATCTAACACCTTAATCACCTTTTACAAGTCTGTAACTTATATATCACTGTAACTGTCACAATCATAACATATAACTGCCTAATCCGCAAGCAATATAAAAATAACTACCTAATACAGAATTATAACTATCTAAATCAGATTTTGGCCAATCAATGCTCCTGGCATAGAGATTTTTTTATATCCAACTTCCCAGAAATTGAGTGAGAAAGTAACAGCTGACACCAAATTTGTCGCCATCAGCAGGAGGTGATAGGTTCTGCATTGAATACAGTGAAGGAGGAGGGGGATTTTGATCAGATGCCATAGAACTAGGTTTAGGGATCAAACCTTGCTCTGGATACCATATTACAATTGAGAAACTGAAAAATAAATTGTTATTGAAAATGAAATCTGGCAAGTTTAATTATGAAAGAGGAAAGGTCAGCTATTTATAGTTGTACAATAAGGGAACAGAATCCAAACTGAAACTGAGAGTTAGTTACAGGGTGGTAGTTGTTACCCAACAGAAAAGAAAGAAAATACACTAGTATACTCTAATAAAAAAAATTCTTAAGAACTTCATATTACAGATTATAACTACCTAAATCAGCCTTTGGTCCATCATCTAGCTTCAATTGAAATTTACTAAATCAATCTAAATACAAAATGTCTTCATAATAAGGCGAAGTAGTTATAGCTGAATAAGTTGGCTCAATTAACAAACTAAATTAACTATATGTGTGCATGAATAGAAAGATAGAAGCTAAAAGAAGGTAACTCGGTAAAAATTCAAAGGACCACCAAAGACCCATGATTCCAAAGAAAATACCTTATAAAACTTTTCAACATAAGGTCAAAATCAACCTTTCTTAATGATTTTGCAGGCCCAAGGCCCAAGATCACTAAGGTGTACGTAGGAGGAGGCACAAGGTGTGATGCACCTGATCAGCTATAGGAGACAGAGTGGGAAATAACTAACTGCCAACCTGACAACAGAACATGACGGAATTCATGTTGTGAGTTTGTTGTAAGGAAAGAGAGAATATAAGCCATAGATGGGTACCTATAAGATAGGCTGGAATTAGGGTTGGGCTGGGACCTGGGAGAGACTAGACACTCAGAAACTGTCTCGCCAATCTCGGACCTTCATTTTTCCACCACCATTGTACACAGAATATACCCAAATTCAAATTCCCTTGATTCAGACCAGTTACTGGAATACAAACATTTTCATACCTAATTTCTTTTTATTCTTTATTGCTCACTGGTATAGGTATTATATGGTTTCTAGCCTACATGTAGATTTCGGATATGGTAAGGGTGTACTTGCTTCAACAGTGTTACACAAACAGAAATACCATCAGAGGATTCCATTAAGGTATGCCTAGACCACATCAAACAATTTTAATGAAATGACATCAATTGAGCAATTAATAAAGCAAGCTTTTTATGTTGGTCAGGGATAGAAACAAGAGCATACACTGTTGCTAAGTCAACCTGAAAGCGAATTCCATTCTCAACTACTGTAGTCACAAGGGAGTGGTTTCCTGCTAAAACCTCAAGCTGCATTGTCCTGTACTCATTTTGAATGGAATCAATCTTGTTGACAACTGTTTGTATCCTTGGCTTATTTTTATCTAGCACAACCTGAATATGAAAGTAGCCTTTCATAAATTAGCACATGAGAATTTGCAATACAATTTACATTTCACATTTGACATGGTAACCAGAAATATTTCTAAAATAAAAACCTTTGCTATTAGCCTCTTGTATGGTAAATGTTCGTCTCTCAAATTTAAGTGGGCAATATGACCAACAGTCTCAAAAGCTGAAGGAACAATCATTCCCTCAGGCAGCAAGGCCTCCAAGACCTGCAACAATGATATAAGACTGATAATTTTTATTTTATTTTATTCACAATTTGAAGTTAGATGAAGAACATGAAAAGGAGGAAACTAGTCACAAAAGTGTTTCAAGGTTGCATAAATGAATACAATTATACAAATTTAGATTTAAAAAATAATTTTAGATATAAATCAGATGCTGATTATAACTTGAAATCCATTTTTCAGAAGTAAACAAAAATTTGGAGTTATCTTAAAATAGAAACAAGGAGTGAAAAAAAAATACCTTTTGAATGAAAAGTTCATTATACCATGATTGACCCACGCACACAGAATAATATGTGCAAAGAAAAAACTTAAATACACATATACATACACCCAATCACAGATTATGTGTATAACAGTGTGTCCTTAGTATAATATACCTCAGTCATCTGCCAGTAATTATAGAATAGTGTCAACTTGCATCTAACTAGCTCAAAGGTCAAAGTTGTACTCTTTTCTGCATACTCCTTCAAAACAGCCTGAAGACAGGACAAAAATATGAACAGTGTAACAAGTGATTAGATGAAATGATGGATAATAATAGCACATATAGAACAAAATTTTCATAATACGAAAAATATGAATATATATGTGATTTATCCCATTTTAAACTAAGAGATGGAACATCAAAGAACAAGAAGATATCTAACATCAGGTCAATACTCAATAGTATCAGTATCTAATGAAAACTATAAATTAAAAATAGTTTGGTAACTTTTCACTTTTCAGTGTTCTCTAGTTCACCTTTTTGAACTACCACAATTAAAACTTGAACGAGCCCTGAAATAAGATTGACAGTTTGATACTGAATTCTCTAAGGACAAACAATATAAGGTTCCTGGCAACATCTACATATTGCTAAAATTTCACAAAGGTAAAGAAGACCTATTTAAAGTCATACAAAGAACATCAAACAAAAGGTCATGACAGTGATAGACTCAACTGGCAAAGAACAATAGAATGAAAAAATGGAAGAACAAAATGAAACGAATGACCCAAGAAATGTTATTCAGAAGTTTGCCAATGACCCCTAAATAATATCCGAAGGTTTGTCCGAGAGAACCCAAACCCTTGTAACTGTATTCTCATTCCATAGCCACCTAACTACTACTTACTCCTTCTATTTACAGTACAAGTTACTACTTCACTTAGTTAAACTGTCTGAAAGGTGCCCAATGATTAAAAGTGCAAACGTGAAGGAATAATATGATGTCAGATACTTTATAGTACACCACAGCATCAGAATGCATTGCTTATGTGTGGATTAAATACCTCCTTTATTACTAAAGGACATCCAAATAGACTGAAGACACCAGGAAAAAACTTCCCCATACAATACAGCTGAAGAACATCTATCTTTTTCAGGGATTAAACAAATTACTTCAACCATAAAGTGTGTTTGGATAAAAGTCGAGATCAACTTAACCCACTTTAACTTCAAAGCAATAACCTTGTTACTTTTGGATTTCATGCATTGAGAAGCGAAAACACACATTCCAATACTTTAAAACAGATAACCAAACACACCCTAAGTCTTATCGTTAAAATAAACAAGTACCATGGAGTTTCCATAGACACATTTATCAATTTTCAGAAAGAAAAATCCCCTTACTACTTTACCCAAGGTCCAAAGCTATCAGACAAAAGGATTACTCTTTGACCATACACAACTTCATTCACATCAATGACAGATGGGAACCTTCACAATTCTCTGGCGAAAATGTCCAACATTCTAAACACAAAGAACAGAATCTTTAAACCAGAAAATACACACTTTCCCTTACGATTTAGTCAATGCCAGATCATTTACAACATACAAGGAACATCGCTGTACAAGGCTACCAGCTACCACTCTCAAGTCCTAATTTGTGAACATGCTTAATCGTCATAATTAAAACTATAATCATCTCCTTTTCATGAAACCTTTAACAACGTACATGAGAGTGAGAATGCTGAAAAAACAGAGGCATTACCTTAATTGCCTCAGGCAACTCCTCCACGCCGCGACTCGCGTAGCGTTCATCCAGAAGCAGCAACCGCGTGGAGCCTCTCCACTTGCTCCTCGCAAACTCTTCTCCCAGCAACTTCCTCAAACCACCTTCTTCTTCTTCCTCGTCCTCGTCCTCAACAACCTCAACCGCAGCCGAACCGTTCTCCCCAACGCGCTTAACGCCTTCATCCTCCTCCTTCTTCTTCCTCCTCTTCTTATTCCTATTCGGCCGCGAAATCTTCGCGAGGTGGCGGAACTTCACGAACCCGCGCGAGTTGAACGTCCTGGCGAGCCTCTCGCGGTACAGGACGGGGCTCAGAACGTGGCCGTCGGCGTCCGCCTTGCCGTGGATGCGGCGTTGAAGCGCGACGAGACGGCTTTCGTCTTCCTCTTGGTCGGCGCTAATTGGGTGAGGTAGGAGCGGGGCGAGGTCGGGGTGGACGTCGTCGCCGGGGACGCGGGCGATGTTGCGGACGCGGGGCCAGTTGAGGAGGTGGCCGCGGAGGCGGGCTTCGAGGGCGGAGCATTCGGCGGCGGGGACGCGGAGCGCGGCGAGGAGGAAGACTCGGGTGAAGGCTTCTTCGCGGAGGACGGCGTCGTTTTGGTTGGGAGGGGGTTGGGAGGGGGCGGTGCCCTTGCGGAGGGAGGGTCCGTAGGAGAGAGGGGTAGCGGAGAAGTGTGGGATGAGGCAAGTGGTGAGGGAGGGTTTGGTGGTGTGAGGGAATGCGAATTTGGAAGGGAGGGCGAGGGCAACGATATGGGGCTTTAGGATCATACTGTTACTTCGCACCCCAACTCAAGAGGGGATAATTTAACACCATCTTACTCACTCAGGAGGAAGGAGGAGGTTCCAACTAGACAATCACGATGACAAATTTAATGTGCCTTCTCAACTCAAATTATCAACACCAATCATCCAAAACTTATAACGTAACTCGTGTAATGTGTAATATCTACAATTTTTATAAATAATTTAATAGGGATTATTCGAAAACAAGAGTTATTTTTTCTAAAATATTTATTATAGATAATTGATTTTTAAATGAGTAATATCTCACGATTAATTTAATGGATTTTATAAATGAGTTACACGTGAGATAGGTTAGCATTTTTATATAAATTAGTATGATTAGGGTTGTAACACCCCGAAATTTCTACTATTACAATATCAATTATTATCTATTTTTATATATTTATGAGGATTATTTTTATAGTTTTTTTAGTTAATTAAAAGGGATTTTTATAGAATATTTTAGAAGTTTGTAACAATTTAAATTATTTTTGAAAAGTTTTATAAAATTCTGTTTCTTTACGCTGGAACGGGCTGTTCCGAAAGTGGAACGGGTCGTTCCAGGCAATGAAAATAAACTGTTTTTGAGGAAGCAGAACGGGTCGTTCCAAAAGTGGAACGGGCCGCTCCAAATGTGTAAAATGGCCTATTTGGGTTTTTCCGGAACGGGCCGTTCCCAAAGTGAGACGGGTCGTTCCGAAATTCTAAAAATGCCTAAAAAGTTGAGTTAGAAACTGGGCGTTCCGATTAAGGTCAATCTGTGTAAAAATGTATTTTAGAACAGGCCGTTCTGAATTTAGAACGGGTCGTTCTGAATTTAGAACGGGTCGTTCTGAATTTAGAACGGGTCGTTCTGCTTTTTGAAAACGGGTCGTTCCAGTTGAAAATTTTGCATATATTCGAAGGATCCGGAACGGGCCGTTCCGAAATCGGTACGGGTCGTTCCGGGGACCCCAGAATGCCTATAAATAGGGGCATAGGGGGTGAAACATTTATAACTTAGTGAGAAGGTAAAATCTTAGAGAGAGAAAGAGGAAGAGAGAGAGAGAGAGAGAAAGAGAGAAAGAAAGAGAAAGAAAGAGAGAGAGAAAGGAAGAGGGAATCCAGAGGAGGAGGCCCTGCCCAAGTTTCAACTCCGCTTATCCAGGTAAGGGGGGAAGTGAGAAACCTCGCTCAGGGGTGTGGAGATAATTGTTGGATAGTTTGTTTGTCGGATTGGCCCCCAATCCCTTGCCTGTTGTTCTGTCTTTCTGTTTGCTCTACTTTGTTTCTTGTTACTTTGTTCCTTGTTACTTTGTTTCTTGTTACTTTGTTCCTTGTTACTTTATTCCTTGTTACTTTGTTCCTTGTTACTTGTTTCCTTGTTACTTTGCTCCTTGTTACTTTGTTCCTTGAAAGTAATAAATGAATATAGAATTAATGCTAAAACTAAATAAGTTTTAATATGAAAAAGAATGTTCTCTATGAATTCCTATGTGGACCTTATGAGGAGTATTTATGACATGACCATGTGAAATATGGACAAATAACATGAGACCTAAGAATGGACTATTGAGACAAGTTATGATTATAAGAATATGGAAAATAATGACATGATATACTTGATAAAACTCTGTAATAAGTTAAATGTTGAGTCCATGAGATAATGAAGGTATGACATGCATCATATGCATATATTACTTCAAGTGTGCCACTGAGGCCGCATACCAACGATGCTAACTAGGTGTACCTTCGGGTCACCCACGACGTAACATGCTAGGTGTACCTTATGGTCACTCACGACGTAACATGCTAGGTGTACCTTATGGTCACCCACGACGTAACATGCTAACAAGGTGTACCTTAGGGTCACCAATGATGAATTGTGAATCTTCCGTATGGCGCCACATGCATGCATTTATGAGTCGAGTCCATGACATCATAAGCATGATAAATGAGTATATATGTGATATTGATTATTTATGTGTATTGTTTACATGTGACTTATATATGTTGTGTGTGTGTGCTATCTAGCATTTATTTCTGCACCTGAAACTGAGTGAGATGTTTCTCACTCCCTTATTATTTTTGTATATGTTTAAATTATGTTGCAGGTGATCAGCATCATGAGGATGTTGGTGATGAGGCTTAAGGCTTCAGTTGGGTATGCTCTGATAGGATGTGACATCGAACATAACTAGGCTTATTTTGGGATGATAATATTTTAAAAGCTTTGATTTTCTCTTCTTTTGTAATTTTGAACGTTCTTGAGAAAAGACCAAAATGTACATCATTGTCATATTATTTTATTACATAATTTGAAAGTTATAAATTAATTCCTAACTAGGAGGCACTGCCACCTTTACTGGAATTAATCTATATTTTATTTTATATGAATTCTTGAATTTTAATACTTACATATTGACTTTTTATGATTGTTGAGCTATGAATGTGAATCTTCTACCTTTTGAGACAATTATTTTATCCACGAAAGATATTATTAAACTATGAAAGATTTTATTTACTCAAATAGAAAAAGAAAAAAATTTGTTTACATTTATTATTAATGTTGGGGGTAGAGGGTGTCACAAGGGTTGTCTCACAATAGTGTTTAAAGTGCTCATTTCGATGAATTTTGAAGATAAGGAAGAATCAGAGTCAACCAAATACAACCTTCCCAATTAGAAATTTGGCATCTATCAAAGTAAAGGGGATTCACCCTCAATTGGTTTCAGTTATGGTTATTTACGAGATAACAATATTAACCCTCAATTTTGTTGTTTGAATTTGAATGCATGAGGGGTTTAACTCCAAATTGATTGTGAATGTGACGCTTGTATGTATTTGTCATTCTATTGTATTATGATAATGTTAAATTGTGATTGTAATGATTTGTGATATTATCTCTAAATGTGAATTTATGGGTGTTTATGGATTCTCATAAACCCTAAAGATCAATACAAAGCAAATTTTTGGAGAAACAATTGTGAGTAGGAAACTTATAGAGTAAAATGAAATAGCTATGCATTAGATTCCCTTAAGATCACATCAATTAGTAGTCACAACTATAAGTGTGTCATTTGTAATTCGTAAGTTATGCAAAAAAAATACCAATTGATACCACATCGAGCAACACATAGTATCACCATGTGCGAAGCACTATAGAGGGTTGTCTATAATGATCACATTAAGCATAGGAGCCATAGAGTGCTTACGGTGAAGTTGACGTCAAGCATGGGAGCTCTATGGGCCTCTTGTTATAAAATTCATCTAGCGTAGGGAGGGTCATGTCAAGCGTGATTCGGCCAAAGACTTTTAGCCTTGATTGTATCAAGCGTAGGACACCTCACGTCGAGCATTTTCCTTTGTCTGCTACTATAATTATGTAATTAATGGATTAATGTGAATAGCCTTAATGAGTGAACTATATGAACTAATTGTTTGTGATAAGTGAAACATGTGTGATTAAGGATGTAGGGTGGAAAAGGTGAGGATGCGTGTAATGCTAATGTGAACCCATAAAATTGCAAAATATGTGATATGTGACAAAAGTGTAAGTGATCATTTGACTAAGTCAAGTATATCTTAGTAGTGTAAAAGTTTGAATGAATTGTCAAGTAAGGATGTGAATTATGTGGATTAAGAATTGTGAGCATGATTAATGAGAATATGTATTGAGTTTGTATGACATGCATCATATGCATTACATGTTTTATGATAAGTGTGATGAAGAGAAGGTCCCCCTCATGTCAAAGCTTGAGGATTCATGACCTTATAGATAACTAGGTTTGGGAACTCCAATCTTGTTCGTTGTGTAAATAGTGTGAAACTTGGCCAACATAGCTATCTTGACACGCTACTAATGTATTTTTCTCCTAATGTAGAGAATTATGATGGCTTTGACCTTGTATGTTCGATCTCCTTGGCTAGTCATGCCTTTGGACCAAGATAAAGTAATTTTATTGACGTTACATACATCCAGTTTGGAAAGCTATCTTGTCCATTATATGAACATAGCATACCCATTGAATTTGAATTATGAAATTGATATATGCTGAAAAGTGATGAATGATATTGCTACAAAATGTGGTTTGATGAATATCGTCTTGATTATTATAATCTTTGGAAAAAATGTTTGTTGGTGAGGTATATGCATGTACATCATTGTGTTTATTTTATGTGTCATTACCCGAGCATTTCCTAATGGATAGTTGAAGTAAGATATTTCTCATTTTTCTTTTCTTCTAGTGATTTGTTTTATTGTGTATGCACAAGTAAATTTGATTATAGTAATGGAGAGACGTAAAACTTTATTGAGAATGTTTTGAAATGATGTAACATCAGGACATTAGGGAGGAAGTTATTTTCTATTCTTAATTGCATTGGGAATTTAGATTCTTTACATTAGAATTATTTTAGCATTAACTTAACATTCTTTATACTTGTTTTTGGATTTAGTTTTGTCATTTTAAAAATTTGAATTTAATGTAATACAAATTAGTTTTTTATATTATTAGTATAATGCACAAATGATAGAAGGTGTCATATACGATAGATAAGTTAAATATCTATTATATGTAAGTAAAATTTATAATAAATTATATATAAATATTATATTTGAATATATAAATTATATTTAAAAATTGTATAAATAGATATTTTTAAATATATAAATTATATTTAAAAAAATTTATAAATAACTTATATCGTAGCACAATGTTATTTTTATTTATTGATAATTTATTTTAAAAATATTAAAATTTAATTCACAAATAATTGTGATAAATATAAACCGAATCAAATAAAAAGTTGAAAAAATTTAAAAAAAAAAAAACTTTTTCATCAAAGAAAAGTCTTTAACAACACTCTCATGTAAAATAGAAGTATGTATTTAATATATACAAATTGATTTGTTACTTTCCTCTCTTTTTTCTTTGTGTCACGGTATCAACCATATTTCTCTTCTAATTCTATTTTTATCTGAAAGTGTCTATGTGTGTATTTTTTTTTTTTGAAATGTTAAATATTTATGACATTGAGACTTACTAGAAATGGTGAAACCACAGTTATATATATATATATATATATATATATAGGGATAAAAATTAAAAAAAAAAAATTATAGCACAACTCTAGGCACGAGGCCTCCTCTTACATTATCTTTGAGAATCGAATCAAGCAAGATAGAAGGGGAATCAGCAGTAACAAATCGTGAGTAGAGTTATGGCCTGAATTTTAACCAAAAATATCACACCTCGATTAGCTTTCATAGAGATGTACCAGGTTGAAGGGAACCACCAGTTAGACATTCTAAGTAAGGAAACAATATCTGAAAGAGGCTGCATATAAATGGGATTAGCATGACCAGAAAAATATCATTTGAATTGAAACTTTGGAATCCATCTAAAAAATAAACATCCTTCAAGGACAAATGGACAATTGCTTTGCTACATGGATGAGATGCCTTGATCTTGATGCTTCTCATTATTCTTCAAGCCACATGTTTTCACGTGATATTTTTAGGTGATTCTTCAATTTGGACTTCATGTGAATATATGAGGCTTGACTAATGCTGAAAATATTTGAATTAAGTCCACCAAGTTTGTATTAATTTGATTGAGTTTGTAGTTTGGCTTGAGTTTGAACGAATTTTTTTTAATTTGAATTTGATTTTTTCAAGTTTGTTAATAATTTGATTCAGTTCATTAGTTTAAATCATATGAATTCAAGATATTTTTTTAAAATTTTATATATTTTTAATTTTTAATTTAAATTTGAATTTTTCAAGTTTGCTAATAATTTGATTCAGTTCATTAGTTTAAATCACATGAATCAAGATTTTTTTAATTTTATATATTTTTAATTTTTAATTTAAATTTGACTTTTTCAAGTTTGCTAATAATTTGATTCAGTTCATTGGTTTAAATCACATGAATCAAGATATTTTTTTTTTAAATTTTTTATATATTTTTAATTTTTAATTTAATAATAGATTTTACATAAAATAATTTTTTATTTTTTTTAAAGACAAATATAATATTTTTTTTTTTTGAAATGTTAAATATTTATGACATTGAGACTTACTAGAAATGGTGAAACCACAGTTATATATATATATATATATATATATATAGGGATAAAAATTAAAAAAAAAAAATTATAGCACAACTCTAGGCACGAGGCCTCCTCTTACATTATCTTTGAGAATCGAATCAAGCAAGATAGAAGGGGAATCAGCAGTAACAAATCGTGAGTAGAGTTATGGCCTGAATTTTAACCAAAAATATCACACCTCGATTAGCTTTCATAGAGATGTACCAGGTTGAAGGGAACCACCAGTTAGACATTCTAAGTAAGGAAACAATATCTGAAAGAGGCTGCATATAAATGGGATTAGCATGACCAGAAAAATATCATTTGAATTGAAACTTTGGAATCCATCTAAAAAATAAACATCCTTCAAGGACAAATGGACAATTGCTTTGCTACATGGATGAGATGCCTTGATCTTGATGCTTCTCATTATTCTTCAAGCCACATGTTTTCACGTGATATTTTTAGGTGATTCTTCAATTTGGACTTCATGTGAATATATGAGGCTTGACTAATGCTGAAAATATTTGAATTAAGTCCACCAAGTTTGTATTAATTTGATTGAGTTTGTAGTTTGGCTTGAGTTTGAACGAATTTTTTTTAATTTGAATTTGATTTTTTCAAGTTTGTTAATAATTTGATTCAGTTCATTAGTTTAAATCATATGAATTCAAGATATTTTTTTAAAATTTTATATATTTTTAATTTTTAATTTAAATTTGAATTTTTCAAGTTTGCTAATAATTTGATTCAGTTCATTAGTTTAAATCACATGAATCAAGATTTTTTTAATTTTATATATTTTTAATTTTTAATTTAAATTTGACTTTTTCAAGTTTGCTAATAATTTGATTCAGTTCATTGGTTTAAATCACATGAATCAAGATATTTTTTTTTTAAATTTTTTATATATTTTTAATTTTTAATTTAATAATAGATTTTACATAAAATAATTTTTTATTTTTTTTAAAGACAAATATAACTTATTTTATTAACTTTGTAACATTATATGATACAACTCTAAAGGAATATGATTACAACTGAAATTTGCATAAATTAAAACTAATCCACTTTGAATAAAATAATAGAAAATTCAATTCATAATCATAAAATTATAAAATTTTACTTTTTTTATATTATTTTTAACTTATAACTAAGTTTTAAAAGTTCTTTTAAATTTTAATAAATTAAAATTAAATAAAAAATTATATATTTATATGTCAAATTAATTCATAAATTAAATGAAACAAATTATACACAACTCAAATTTAATTTATTTATTTATTGAATTCAATCTTTAATTTAAAGTTATATTATTTAGTTCATAAATTAAATTTAACAAATTAATTATCGAATCAAATTAATTTTAAATTATTTTTGAGTTTGCTTGATTTATTACCACGACTTCCCTCGAGACATCTCTTGTTGGACTTCTAGCATTATATATGATCAATATTCTTGGATCCTTTTATATAGTCATCTCACTCATGTAAATAGTCTCTCATTCATGAAGCTCTTTAGTCATGCAAAGCAAGACCTCCATCATAACTTTTGTTCTTGCATAAGCATAACAAATCTTAAATATATATGTTGGAATATCGATTATTAATTCTTTAATGAATAACTATATTTACTTGTACACCAAGATAAAAATACTTACCTCGTCATTATTCACTCTAAAATAACTAAATCTGAAAATCAAATATACAAAACTTGTATATTCAAGAAAAATTCACTGTGTAAAAGTAGTGTGTTTAAATTCACATTAAAAGATCCAGAATCACCTAAAATACTAACTAACATGATTTTAAATAGTATGTTTAATTCCATGTTGGGTCCAAAATTAGTTGAGTTTATGCAATATCGATAAAAGAATGATACTAATTTTTAATAATAAAAACATCAAATATAAATAATGTCACTCCGAAATCAAATATTATTCGAAATGAGTGTTGCAAAATCTCACCCCAGCACCAGAGAGGAGAATTTACAAAAGAGAAATTAAATGAATAAAAAAGTTATCCTACGAACCTTAAATTAAATGACTTGCCCCCTAGTGCGAGCTTTGACCTTGAGCCATGAGAAGACAAATACACATGACTTCGACTCCTCTGAAGCTTCCTCTCCTTAATCCTCCTATTCCTATTCTGAACTGAGTCATCCAACCCACTCTCTCCACACAAACCCCCCTCGTTGCATGCCTTTCTTGGACTAGGACGCACCACATACAACAAAACCGAAGTGCATAGTATAGCAGGAAACCTACCCCACAAAATCAAAACAAATAGAATAATTGCAAACATGCAATAAAGTGCTGTCGTTGAATTCTCATGTACTTTCTTCCTTTCTTCAACACCACATTGCTTTTGTTTTGTTGCACCAGTTCCATTATTTAATTGTATTGATGGTGGTGTTGAGTATGTTTCATGTGTGCTAGTGCTTGAAGCGTGATCACTGTGTACTGGAGAACTACTTTGAGAAGATGAGGCGATGGCTAATGGAGATGAGTTCGCTGAAGTAGAGCAAGAGGGTAAACTGATTCGGCCAGGGTTTCGAGTTTTAACACTAGCTTCTTCCATGTTGCTGGTTGATTTGGATATCGCCTTTTTTGCTTTCCTTCTACTCATAACCTTCCTCATCTATAACAACCAACAAAGAAAAAAGTTAATCATCTATTCTCATTATTGTTAAAAACTTTCTAATCACTTTTAATCTAAAACTTTAACTTGAAAATTTGTAATTTTTTTTATTTACGAATGTATTTTATACTATATTTCAAAACTGATAATTAAAATTTAATTTATACTTTTAAACATTTGATTCTAAATTTCATATTTTTAAGTTCTTTTTCAGACCTATTGTCAATATTAAGTGGCGGCTAAAAATTTGTATACATTTTTGGGTCAAATATATTATAATGAAATCGTTAAATTTTATTCTGTCTTCTACAATGAAATCTAATAAGAGAGGTTTCGAGTAATTTTCTTTGTAATTTTCTTATGTCTCAAGAAATTATTCATCAAAATAATGAGTTATTATTGATATCAATACATGTTTAGCATTTAGGGTTTAGGAAACCCTAAATATATTTTTTTTTATTCGTTCCTAGAATATTCAGGGTCGATAGTAGTGACTAATCTCCTCGCTATGTTGGAGGCACTCAAAGGGTGAGATAGCTGACCCAAGATTTAACGTTAAATATCGATACAGATCGCTAAATATTATTTTATTGTAAAGAAAGTATGTTACCCATGTGGTTCCCTTGATAACAGCCCCGAGGGCCTGCCACGTGGCCTTCCTTCTCCGGCGACCACCGCATTGGTGTCCCCTGTCCTCCGGTGCTCCTCCTCCGAACAACGACGACAAGATGGCGGGCAAAACGGCGCCGTTCTTGTTGGCAATTGCGATGTAGGAGAGAACGGGGTCGATGTCATTGCTTTTGGGCGCCAAAGCCTTGTCGTCGACGCTTTCGGGTTTCAGACGCATCAACAACGACCTCTTGCTTTCGTTCCTCGCCGTCGCTTCCGTCATCATCATGAACCAACGACAACAAACGACTTTCGAGATCGTTCACAACCACCAACCAGGCTGTGGCTGTTGCGTCGTTCCAGAGAACAGAGAACAAACGTTAAACCATACGTTGCCTCGTTTCTTTCGCTGCAACCAGGACCGCTTTTTATATTTTTGCCAAACGCCACCGTTTCGCATTTCATGCCTCCGTTTTTTTTGTATACGGAAGAGATAGTAACGGAAAAGTGTTTCTAACTAGCAACAAATCCCGTCTAATTTGGGTTAGTCAACTTTTCTAAATCACCGGTGAAAAACCAAAAAAAAAAACTCAACTTTTCTAAACCAATCAAAATACTTTTACTCTTATATGATTGGATTTTGAACAAGTCTACTTAGTTCGTGGGTGTCTCAAAGTTTGAAGTCAATATTAATAGGCTTTCTTTAATTTCTGTTTTACTACTCTTGGATTTACTAATTATGACAATTGACATAGTGGTAATTAACGTCGTTTATAATTTTAACAAAACTTCATTCTTTTTATATCTAAAGGTGTATACAGTACGAGATAAAGAAAGAGAAGAAAAATAATTTATATAATAATAAGTAATGCGGTATAAAAAAAGGGGGAAAAAAGAAGAAGAAGAAAAGAATGTAACCTTAATGTAAAAATTTATATATGAAAAAATAAATTTAATCAACACTATAACTCTTACAACTCTTACTTTCTCTGTTTTCTATTATAAGAAAAAAAATATACATTTTTTTCTTAAATATAAATAAATTGAACTATTTTTTATCATTTGATAATTTTTTAAAAATATTTTTTCTTTAATATATAATATATCTTTTAGTTGCAGTACTACTTCTTTTAGCATTTATAACAATGATAATTTAAAAAGAATCTTATGAGAATACTAAAATTTAATACAAATAAATCAATTTTTTAATTTGTGTAAAATTAGTTATTTTTACTTATAATAAAGAACAAAAAGAATATGTTTTATCTATGTTATTATTGTGTCCATCACTACTATTAGGTATTATTATTATTATTATTATTATTATTATTATTATTATTATTATTGATTGTCAAATAAAATATTATTTTTATTAATAATGTAATATTCTAATAATGGGATTACGTATTATACATTTTATAAAATATATTTGTATTTCTTAACTTTCATAGAAACAAGTATAAATATCATGTTATTTGGATATATAATTGGGTACAAATAAAGGTAATAATGAATCAAAGCAACTTGAAAATAGTTTTAAATTTAATTTAATAACTAATTTGATAAACTTGATTTATAAATCAAATGAGTTGAAATTGAGTTAAAGTTTCATCTTGATAAATAAATGAGTTGAACTTGAGTTGCATATATAGCTCGATTTATTAATTTGGTTTATGAATCAGCTAGACATATAAATATTTACAATTAATTTTCTATTTGATTTCAGATTATTAAAATTTGATAGAACTTTCTAAACTTAATTATAAGTTAATAATACAAAAGAAATGAATATTTTAGAATTTTATGGCTATGAATTTGGGTTTTTTATTATTTATACAAGATGAAGTGGCTTTTATTTATATATAAATTTGGTTGTAGTTATATATTTCTTTAGAGTCATACCTTATAATCTTATAAAATTAATATTTGTCTTAAAAAATGAAATAATCATTTTATCTTAAATCTATTATTAAATTAAAATTTTGAAGTATAAAAAAATTGACTTTTGATTTAAATGATTCAACTTAACAAGTTAAACTGAACTATTAATAAACTTGAATTGAGTTGTGATTGAACTGAAAAAATAAAGTTCATATCAAACTCAAATCAAGCTATAAGATAAATCGAATATTTTTTCTAAAATTTCTCTCTAAATTTTTTTGAGAATGAACTTATGAAACTCTCTTCTGAAATAAATATTTATACACTCTTCTTCCTAAAGTCAATTAAACTCTAAAATCTACTCCATGTTACAATATAAGCCAAGTCAAACTAAATCAAATTTGCTCGATTCGACTAACTCAGGTATAATGTAAAAAATAAAATAAAAAAAACTTTTCATTTAATAAGCTCTCACTCACATATGATTGACGTTGAATGAAGCTCAAGAATAATAATAATAATAATATAATAGAGGCCCTGAATCATTATTTTCTACAGTAAACACTTGATTCGGTTCGAGAGAAAGCAAGTTAGAGAAGCTAACGAACATAGTTTAATGAGCACGTGAAACATGAAGGTAGCAGAGGCAGGTGTCAAAAGCTCTCATCATCAGTTCCAACTAAGATATCTATATATAATTGAGTAATATTTAATTTAAAAAAATAATAAAAGATAGCAATGTACAATGTAATAATAACTCAGATTGTTGGAATAGCAGTAGGCAATGGATATAGTAGTCAAAGGTTTGAAAGACAAGTAGATACGTAGACGGAACTTTGGTGCCTCACAGTCACATAACACACACTGTTCCGTTCAACCCTATCTCCATCCTTTCTGCCTTTACATTTCTGCTACACTGTCCAAGTGGTCCCTTCTCAAATATGGAAGACAGATAAAAAGAAAAAAAAAAAAAAAAAGAGCAACCCCACCTAAAGAAAGTCACATGTTGGGAAATGAAAAAGGATAATATGTAGTCAAAATTTTGACTTATAAAAGAATAAGGAGAACGGCTTTCAATTTGGAAATTATTTATACCAAGTTACCAACACACTCATGTTTTTGAAATGGAGCTGTTTTATTAATCTTTGGTCTAAGAAATGTGAAATTAGTTTCTAAAATGTAAAAAAAAAAAAACCTTTAAAAATAATAATTTATTGTGATTTTAATTCTTTAATATATCAATACACTAGTAGAAAATTAGGATACTACGTCACCCATTTTACATCAGATATACAAACACCCGACGTAATAAAAACGCGGTGGCACGTTTCGTAAATTTGTTAAATTATTTACGTCGGACCTCCAAGGGTCCGACATAAATTTTAACATCTACGTCGACTATGCATTGTGTCCAACGTAGATGTTAAAATTTACGTCGGACCCAATTAGGGCCGACGTAAATAATCCACGGAACCTGCTTAAAAGAAGGTGTGCGCGCACTAGTTAGATTTCAAAAACTTCATGGATTCCTTCTCCCGCGCGTTGTGCACCTTCTTCTGTTTTTCTTCCTCATCCCTCCACCTCCTCCTCAAATTGTGGTTGTCCTCCTCATCTGCACCTTATTCTATTTTTCTTCGCGTGATGATGTTTTTCTTCTTTGGAGGGTTGCGTTGGTCATGGGCTTTTCTGGGAGGTTCTATGAGGTAGCATCTTCTATCAAGTTTGTGTTTTCTGGGATGTTTTTTTCGTAATAATGTTTGTGTTGCATTTCGAGTTTTTGAAGCTAGAGAAGGAAGTGACCATCCTGGGTCTATCAAGCAGAACTGGCCATGCTACTTGGAGAACGGTCCGTTCTGATTGGAGAACGGGTCGTTTCAAGCAGATCGGGCCGATCTCCTTGCACTCATTTTTTTATTTATTAAATTTTTATGACTTTTTTACGTCGGACCTTGGTATGTCCGATGTAAATTTACGTCGATTTTCGCGCCCCGGCGTAAATTTACGTCTCCAGCTTTAACGTCGAAAATTTTTCTGACGTAAAAACCCCTAAAATGACTGACGTAAAATGTGTATTGTGTAGTAGTGATATTTTTTTTCATTCGTTTTTCATTTTGAACTAATATACTTCATTTGTTCTCTACTATAAGAAAAAAAAAGACTAATTTTATACATATTAAAAAATTAATTATTTGTGTTAAATTTTACTATTTTTATAATGTTCATCCTAAATTCTCGTTGTAATAAATATAAAAAAGAAGGATTACAACCAGTGATTTAAAACCCGGACCGAACCGGCTGGGCGGACCAGTTGGACCGGGAACCGGTGGGCCAGCCGGTCTGAATCTTAAGTTGGATCGGTTATGCAGTCGAC